AATATTACTCTATTTTTTTTCTTTTTTCAGGAAACTTGAAACAAAAGTAGAAAAAGCTTTGAGGAAAAAGTCAAGAGAGAAAAGGCCGTATGAACTCTGCACTTTAAGTCTTAACAATAGAGCAATCACTTCTCTCATAAATGTTGAATAACTTTGGCTCTTTTTACCAGACAATAGCTTGATTGCATTGCTAGGTTTCTTGATTTAAAAAGCAAGGTGACAATAGCAAAAATGGACAAAGAAGAAAGCTCTAAGGTGGAAGATAAAGGCCAGAACATGTATGAAATGAAATGCAAGCTGAACTGTTATCAGCCTCTTACCCTTAGTGGGGCTGGGAAGGTCCAGGCATTAGCTACCCAGATGACTTAGGTAAAGATATGGGAGAGTCCTATAGACATTTTCTTAAGAAAAGTAATCAAATACAGCTTGATTTTAATACATATTGCCCGCTTACTTGATTACACACTATGAACTAATTATATATTTGAACATTTAACTGAAGTAAATGTACTTGAACATCTTCTTTGTCAGGCATTGTGCTAGCAGCCACTGGGAATTCAACAGTGACTTGTAGACCTTACATTCTAGGCGAGAGTAACAGCATCTACTGAAGCCACTGCTGAGTGGGGTACGCAATACAAAGGAAGTGAAGGATACTATGATAAATTACAACAGTACTTTTGGATTAAATGATAGAAGGCCTCTTAGGAGATGTAGATGGAAGGAGGAAGAATTAGATATTCAAAGGACCAGTGGGTAGGGGATGTAGAACATTTCAGGAAAGGGAATAGCAAGTGGAAAGGCCCAAGTTATGAAAGAGCTTGGCATGTTGTATGAACAGAAAGAAGTTCTGGGTGGTTGAAAGCATAAAGAGCAATGAAGAGACTTCCAGAAGATGGTGTTTGCACAATAATGTGAATGTACTTAATACCACTAAACTGTGTACTTAGAAAAATGGTTATGTGTATTTTACCACAATAAAAATTTTTTTTTTTTAAAGAAAAAGGAAAAAAGATGACGATAACATTGCAGGGGCAGGTAGAGCCTGATCATTTAGGACAGAGTAGAACACAGTAAAGATTGTATTCTGGGGTCATGGATTTTGGACTTTTGAGCTCCAGAACTATAAAAGAATCAATGGGTCATTTTAAGCCAAGTTTGTGGTACTTGTTATAGCAGCCATAGGATATTAACTCACCTGGGGAGGAAAAGATTGTCCCTGTTTCAGTCTACCTGCTCTCCTGCCCATGTGTGAGAAACGGGATTGCTCAGTGATCGGTGCAATTTAATCTCTAATAAGAGTGAACTCGGCGGGGAGGGGGGAGACATATGTAATACTCTGTAATACTTCAAGCAATTAAAAAAAAAAAAGGAGTGAATTCATCATTGACTCAGTGTCTGATCTTCAAGCCTGTATATCTAACAACTCATTCTCTGTGGTTCATCAGATGTGATCAGATTAAGGAGGAATAATGCATACTAACTTAATTCCCAAGAAAGATCTAAACCATACTACCAGTTTGTTAGTTCATGGAAATATAAACACTATATGCATCCGTTTACTCAGATTAACAGCTAAATGCAGCTTTGTCTTGTTTGGGAAACGTAAAGAACAAAGGCAATGAGCTCATCTTGAAGGCTGATTTTACCAAATTGTGCAGCCTGGTGCACTGATCTCCTGCGTGGATTAGCACATTTAGATTGGTCAAACAGGTCCTCTCTGCTCACTTTGTTGGGACATTCTGACTTATAATCACTACCTTTCTAGAGTCCTTGAAGGTCATCATAATGCTGTTTTGGCAGTATTCCTTCAGATGTGCTACAATGATTCTGTGTCTGTTTAGTGTCTCCTTTGAAACTTGGGTTGTAGTCTTAGCAGCAACACATTCATACACCACCTCATATTCATTCACTGATTCACTCCAAAAGCATTCAGTACTTACTAAGTGCTGGACATTGCACTAGGATTTGAGATACAGAGATAAGATAATGGCCTTACTTTCTGGGAATTTTATTCTTTGGTAGATTAAAATCTGCTGTGTACTTCTGTAGATAGCTGAGCTCATCCATTTCTTATGATTTCATGAACTTCATTTTTGCAGGACACTTCCTGGCCCTCGTTGTCAAATTTAGGAATGGTCCGCCCTAGCCAGTTTTGCTCAGTGGACAGAGCATTGGCCTGCAGACTGAAGGGTCCCAGGTTCGATTCCAGTCAAGGGCACATGCATAGGTTTTGGATTCAATCCCTAGTTGGGGTTGGGCAGGAGGCAGCTGATCAATGATCCTCTTTCATCACTTTCTCTCTCTCTCTCTCTCTCTCTCTCTCTCTCTCTCTCTCCTCCTCCTCCTCCTCCTCCTCCTCCTTCCTCTCTGAAATCAATAAAAATATATTTTAAGAGCATTTTAAAAAATATATTTTATTGATTTTTTACAGAGAGAGAAAGGGAGAGAGATAGAGTTAGAAACATCGATGAGAGAGAAACATCGATCAGCTGCCTCCTGCACATCTCCTACTGGGGATGTGCCCACAACCCAGGTACATGCCCTTGACCGGAATCGAACCTGGGACCCTTCAGTCTGCAGTCCAATGCTCTATCCACTGAACCAAACCGGTTTCGGCTGAAATCAATAAAAATATATTTTAAAAAAATTTAGGAATGGTTCAGTTGAGGACCTATAAGCCAGTCAAAGTCAATAATCGGTATGCTGATTATTGGGACAATACTATTTTGACTAGCTTATCAGGTATTCACATTTCACTAATCTAGTGTAACAAAAGGCCTACCATTTAAATATTCTCCGTGATTAACATTCCTACAAAACAGGAGATGCCATGGCCTTTCGTCAGTTGTCCACTTAACAGTCCCTTCCAACTTATGTTTTTATTTAATATAAAATGTCATTGATAGCAACATTTTTCTAATTTTTTCAAGTCCAAAATTCAAGACCATTCAAGAAGCCATAGTCACAAACATGCCATTCACTCTAGTTTACATACATAGTTCATTGCACATCTAATTACTAAACTTCTAATTATAGAGCTATAGGGGGTTTTCTACCTTGATTTTCATAGACGAACCATGTTTGGTAAACATTCCTTCTTGGTTTGATATAAACCAGTCCTGTAGTTTGAAAGTTAATATAATTTATACTGGAAACCATTATAAACTAGGAAAGGCCAGTAGAGGAGTGATTTCCTATGTGATCTAGAACAATTAACTCACCTTTCTGGCCTCAGTTTCCTTGTTTGTAAATGGTAGTTACATTTTATGTCTTTAGTTCCCCAGTTCTAAAATACAATGATTCTTTAAGAACTCTGGAAAATAGGATCACAAAAAGTTAGTTCATTTATACCCAAATCCATTTCATGGAAACAATCAGGATTATTTAGGCAAATTCACGTTGAGCAGTTTATTAAGATGCCATGACCATTCATTCAGCAGATATCCCTTTGCTCTTACAAAGCTAATTGTTTAATGGAAGGAAGAGGCACCATTACATATCGACACACACAAAACCCACAACTACTTTTGTGAAACAGCTTTTTAATTTCAATTTTCTGTTTACAAAAAGACAAAGAGAACTGGGGGTGGGGAGGCAGGAATAACACGTGGTCACCCCCAGAGCATGGAGGAAGGGGCCATAGCTAACAACCGGTAACAGCAAAGAACCAAAAGAAGTCCAATGTGGATCAACGGCTTCTGTTAACAAGATCGGTCAGTTTAGGCAACGGTCAGATGATCTGTCAAGTCCATGTCCATGAGGGGGAAAAAGGCACAGGTCAGTCTAATGAGGCCTTGGCTCTGGGTAACCTTGGGCTTGCCTCCTGTAAAGTTTGGGCACCTGTCTCCAGGACATATAAGGGCCAGGAGGTAGACTCCGGGGAAAACCCCTATGAACCACAGGGGCCGGCTGCTGATAATAGGGTGTGGGGAAGGGGGCCCTTGGCGGCTGGGGATCAAACACAAAGTCATTTCCTAAGTCAAATCCTGTCTGGGGAGAATGGAAATTGCTGAAGAAGAATTGACCAGACTGGAAAGGTTGGTCTGAGGAAAAATAGGTATCTTGGGGACAGAGCAAGACCTGGGGGTGCATGGCCGGGTGACAGGGAATGGGAAGAGGCGGTGAGGGCAGGAGTGGGGACAGGGGTGGGCGGGGAGCTGGGAGTGGCAGCAGGGGGCTGTGCCTGGGAGGAGGCAACGATGCGGGTGGGGGTAAGGCCCTTAGGTTTCTGCTGCTCTGGGACTGCCTTTCAAGTCTCTGTTTAGATCTGCCCCTTGCAGGGTCACACTTGAACCACTGGCCCACTGGTGGGCGGTGAGGCAGCTCCACACCCCAAGCGTCGGCCACATGGGCCAGCAGCAGCTGGGAGAGGCGGCGGTGCGCGTGATGGTTCCAATGTACCCCGTCTCCGTGCCGGTGCATCTCCGCGTGGCGGAAGTGGAAATGCAAGTCCAACACATCTAAATTGTGGTTCTTCGCCTCGACATAGCTGTAGAAGTTGGCTTCGATCACCTTTTTAATCCGGGCAGAGGAAATGGCCGGCTGCTCTTTCGGGAGGAAGCCCCCAGTGACCTTCCTGCCCAGGGGCATGGCCGTGTTCCACACCAGGAGGCATGACTTTGGCAGCACCTGGCCCAGGTGCCGGAACAGGTTCTCCAGGTTCGCCCGGTAGCTGCTGAAGCAGTCCTGCCCATACCTGGAGATGTCCCAGAGACAGGAGTTCATGATGACCAGGTCCGGGGTGTGCTCGTGGGTCCGCAGCTCTTCCAGCACGGCCCGGACGTACTCATTGTACACGCGTGTGAGGAAGTAGAAGCGCACCAGGTGGTGGCCGGTGCAGAACTCGCGGACCTCGCGGTAGTCGGTGCTGTTGGTCATGATATCCTTCTTGCCTCCTTCCACCAGCTTGTCCTGCTCGAAGCTCAGCTCCCCCTTGACCTTGAGCTGGTCGAAAGTGAGCAGGCAATCCTTCTGCAGCAGGAGCACCAGGTCCTTGTACACGGACCTCTGGATGGAGTCTCCCAGGATGACGACGAACTTGTTGTGGAGCAGCTGCTGCACTTCAGAGGACTGCAGCTGGGCCATGATGCCCAGGTCCAGTGGCCCAGCTCCTTTCTTGCACGCAGGTGGGTCTGCAGAGAGCTAGGACAGAAGGAGAGAGCAGCTGGGAGGAACCCACCTTGGGCAGGCCCCCAGTGTGGGTAGGACTGGGGCCAGGAATGAAGTCTTGGCCTGGGAAACCCACAGGGTGGAACTCCACCACCTTAAGGCTGGGACTCCACCACCTTAAGGCTGGGACTCCACCACCTTAAGGCTGGGACTCCACCACCTTAAGGCTGGGACTTTACCACCTTAAGGCTGGGACTTTACCACCTTAAGGCTGGGACTTTACCACCTTAAGGCTGGGACTCCACCACCTTAAGGCTGGGACTCCACCACCTTAAGGCTGGGACTCCACCACCTTAAGGCTGGGACTCCACCACCTTAAGGCTGGGACTTTACCACCTTAAGGCTGGGAGTGGGGAGAGAGAGCAAGAAGGGAGCCTGGAGCCAGAAGCCCTGCTGGGCCTGGCTGAGGCTTGGGACTTGACCTCTGAACTGCCTGTGGCTGTTTAAAGGCCCCGGTTCCACCTAGCCAGGAGGGGCCAACTCGCCCCGCCCTCCCCCCTGCTGGAGGTGCAAACTGCCACTGGGAAGGCAGCCCAGATGTCTGACAACTGGAGAATGGATGGGCAAACCGCAGCGGCTAAATAATGAGTGTGAGTAAGCAAGGACATGGAGAATGTGTGTGATATGTTGAGGAATTTACAGACCACGTGTGCCCCACATCACTGAAACTGTAGGAAACAGATACGCATAGATAACATTGAAAGAAAGTATGCAAAACATTTTAAATAATAGGATTACAGAGGAATTACCTTCCCCCTTTTGAAAACATACTTTATATAATCGGATATTACTTTTAGTGACTTAAAAAGAATTCAATGGAATGCAACAGAAAATAAGAGTACATGTGCCAATAGGTCTTGTACAAAAGAGATAACATTGGAAAGAATGTTTCCGCTGCAATATTCTTTGCTTTCCATTTGAAGATCGAATATGCCACTCCCGAACATGACACTATGTCATAAGGATGATTTTGAGCTGAAGGCAACAAGAATCAACAGACACAAGAGTTCTCTGCACTCATCTTATCTGCCTAAAAGCAGAGTATAAATTCCCCTTTGAGGAAGGTGCCCCTCCCCGACCCAGAGAGAAGAGCGAAGAAAGAAGGCCGGGTGTGGTTTCTCCATACATTTCCTAGTGTCAGAAATATGCCTCTGATTTATCTTCATAGAAAAGGAACAGCATGTGGCCAGGTGGCTGCTGCTCAATTTCCCCGGAGCAAACAGGATATGGGGGTGGGGAGAGAGGAGGAGAGCTGTACACGTGGCTGATAGCATTCGTCCTAGAGGCGACTAGAGAAGGCCCCAGCCCCATTTTTTTTAAGATAACCCAATGGGAGACGGCAATCCCTAGGCGACCTATTAGGAAATAGGTGATCAAATAGTCCTCAGCCAACGAGGAACTGGAGGAGGGTCCAAATAAATAGGCGATGGTCCAAGCCCTACATGTGATCCTGTAAAATGGGCACCTGCTCTTGAGTGTTATTAAAAATGGCATCTTCGCCATGCTTCTGTTTCCTAGTCCATCACTTGAAATTAGGACAGGTGAGCCATTTCTCACACTAGTCACTTCCCCGCAGTCATCATCCCCTGAAGCCCAAGCCCTTTTTCCTTGGTTAAAATGGTCTATAAGCCCCTGAATATAACTGCTTCTTTGAGTTTCACTTCTTTTCTATGAACTCTGGTGCACATAAATATTAATAAAAACTGTGTGCCTTTTCTCCTGCTACCCTGTCTTTTGTTAGCTTAATCACAGGGCCCCGGAAATTCAACCTCAGAGGTTGAGGAAGTTTTTCCTCCCCAGCACATTGAATAAAATGTTAAAAGTTGTGAAATTCATCTTCAGAACTTTGGATGAAGTTTATTTCAAGCAGGCATTTACAACCATATCTACTAATGAATAAAAGGTAGAAACACAGATCAATACTATTAACAACTCTCAGGTGGGGAGGGAGATGGCACCCAGTGCATCACCCACTCACACAGAACCTGTTAAAACCCACTGTAGGTGGTATTTGTAGGCTTTTATGCATCAGTAAACATTTAAATAGGTGTGGGTGGATAGCTATTATTAAATGGCACATTCGGTTTTTAAAAGCTATACTATTCGTAGTTTTAAATGGGTACAAGTACAAAAATAAAACCACGAAAATGCGTAGAACATAAGAGTTGCCCTAAGACCGTGGTCAGCAAATTGAGGCTCTCGAGCCACATGCAGCTCTTTGGCCCCTTGAGTGTGGCTCTTCCTAAGCCTTAGGAGTGCCCTAATTAAGTTAATAACAATGTACCTACCTATATAGTTTAAGTTTAAAAAATTTGGCTCTCAAAAGAAATTTCAATCGTTGTACTGTTGATATTTGGCTCTGTTGACTAATGAGTTTGCCGACCACTGCCCTAGGGGATGGAACATCAGCCCCAGCCATTAGAGTTCTCTTCCCAAGGTTGGCAGATCTGATAACCTAGTCTGTCTCCTTCAGAGCTATTTTGCTTGTATGGTCTAATGCAGTGGTTCTCAACCTTCCTAATGCCACGACCCTTTAATACAGTTCCTCATGTGGTGGTGACCGCCAACCATAAAATTATTTTCGTTGCTACTTCATAACTGTAATTTTGCTACTGTTATGAATCGTAATGTAAATATCTGATATGCAGGATGTATTTGCATTGTTACAAATTGAACATAATTAAAGCATAGTGATTAATCACAAAAACAATATGTAATTATATATGTGTTTTCCGATGGTCTTAGGCGACGCCTGTGAAAGGATCGTTCGACCCCCAAAGGGGTTTGCGACCCACAGGTTGAGAACCGCTAGACTCTAATGGATTCTTTCTCAGGATGTGAAGAGCCTTAGACTTGGACTCACAGATGTGCGTCAAATCCACTACTTTAAAAAGCAGTGGGAAATCGTATAGTGGTGAAGAGCACTGTTTTTGAAGCCAAGCTCTCTAGGTTTCAATCCCAACTCTTCTATTTGCTGGCTCTAACCTTAGGCAGGTTACTTAGCCCTTTTCTGCCTTAATTTTCCCAGTTTTTAGTACCCACTTCATAGATCTGGCGTGAGGATTAAACGTAGTGTTTAGAACAATGCCTGACAAGTAGTAAGCATCGATAAGAGTTACTATTATTACTGAGAAAGTTTCAGAACACCAGGTTAACCATCTGTAAAAAGGGGATTATAGTTTTTCTGCTGCATGTCTAGCAGGGTTCTGTAAAGGTCAAATGAGAAGATGCAAGTAAAAGATTTTGAATAAAAAAAAATTAATGGATGTTAAGTACTTTACAAATGTTATCCCATTTATAAGATAATTCTTAGTATTCACCTTTTATAGGGAAGGATATTGATGTGATGTGACGTGATGGAGCTAAGACTTAACACCACGGACTCCCAAATCTGTCTCAGTAGGAGACCTCCTTTTGACCAGAACCCCCTGCAGGTCAGTCCGAATGCTAAAGCTTGGCTCATATCAGGGAGATGAGATAGGAGAAGGGTCTTTTGATGTGGCTCCATGCATGGGCAGGCAACCATTTACTCTGCCAGCTCAGGAGAGATAGTCTATGTGTACTTAGCTGTGTGTGTGTTGGGGGAGGGCAAGGGGGGTGAGGGTGGAAGTAGGGTAGGGAGTGTAAATAAGGCCAGAGTGGTTTAGTGGTTGAGCATCGACCTATGAACCAGGAGGTCACGGTTCAATCCCGGGGAGGGCACATGCCCAGGTTGTGGGTTTGATCTCCAGTGTGGGGCATGCAGGAGACAGCCGATCAATAATTTCCTTTCACCATTGATGTTCCTAGAGCTCTCTCTTTCTCCCTTCCTCTCTGGAATCAATAAAAATATATATATTTTTAAATGTATATTTTCCTCATTCCATACTATAATCTCGAACAAGAGACATGCAAAAATTAAAAGATCTGGATTTTAGAATAACCAAAGCAAAATTCTACAGACTCCTGGGCTGCTCTGTATCCTGAGCAGGGAACGTAACCCACCCAGATGCTGCTCCAAGGGCTCAGAGCCAAAAACCAGGCAGAAATGCCCATCTAAGAATGTATTGTTCTTCTGCAGTGGAACATGCAGATAGGACTGTAGAAAAGAAGGGGAGGGGAAATGACTGGGAAGAAGCATTCCAGTTAGAAGCCAAAAACTAAAAGGAAATTCATGAAATTCTTGATAAAGAGTGTCACAACTGGAACAGGATTAACAAATCAGACACCCGCAGGACTACTGTTGTGGGGAAGAATCCTTTCGGCTAAGAAGCCAAACATTAAAAACAAAACCCATCAAAAAAAGGAGGGGGGACTCTCTGAGGGGAAGGGGTGAAGTAGAGAATAATTTGGAGACCTAAATCCTCTCTCTCATCTTAAAAACAGTTGGTTACTTCCATTTTCAAAGCTCTACTTATAAAACTGAAACAAAAAGGGGATTTGAAAACAGATCAATGGTCTTTTAGCCCAGGCTTCTTGCTTCAAATTTGCTAAACTCACTAATTAGTTTCCGTACCTATGTTATAGAGTGACTCATACATTCATTCGTTCACTCAATAAGGATCACTGAGAACCAGATATTGGGCTAGGTGGAAGGAGTAGGTATAAAAATGCAGCCTCTTCACTCAAGAGGAGTGGTGTGAAACTGGACATGTAAACATGTCAAAGAAGGGGCCAGTAGCTAAAATTGATGCACGCAAATGAAGCACCAAAGCCTGTAAGAAAGGTCAAGGGGGAGAGGGAAGGTATACCGATGATCATTGCAATCTGGGATTCCAATTTGAATGAAAACCAGTTTTTGAAGAGTTTCATGGTGATTCCTCAAGTCATAATTATAAGCAGTGCCATGATTTTCTGTTTTCAAAGTAAAATTTGGCTTTTGGATAAGGCTCTAACAGAAAAATGCATCAATAGTGGCTGCTAGCCCTAGCCGGCTTGACTCAGTGGGTAGGGCGTCAGCCTGCGGACTGAGGGGTCCCGGGTTCGGTTCTGGCCAAGGGCGCATGCCTGGGTTTCGGGCTCGGCGGGCTCGGTCCGAAGTGTGGGGCGTGCTGTAGGCAGCATATCGATGATTCTCTCTTGTCATTGTTGTTCTATCTCTCTCTCTCTCTCTCCTTCTCCCTTCCTCTCTGAAATCAATAAAGAAATATATTTTAAAAAAATAGTGGCTGCTACTGTAATAAATTACTTTCAAGTATCTTGCTTAGATTTCTGGGGATAATTAATTTTTTAATTGCTTCATATGCCATGGCTTGTAAATTATTATTATTTTTTTTATTATTATTATTAAGGTATTACAAATATGTCCTCATCCCCCCCCATTAACCCCCAACCTCCCCCACACACACAAACTCATGCTCCCATCCCCCTGTTGTCCATGTCCATTGGTTTGGCTTATATACATGCATACAAGTCCTTCGGTTGATCTCTTCCCCTTACCCCCGCCCTCCCCTACTTTCCTTCTGGGGATTGATAGCCTGATCGCTGTTTCTCAGTCTTTGGGTCTGTCCCTTTTCATCAGTCTATGTTCTCTATAATCCACAAATGAGTGAGATCATGTGGTATTTATCTTTCTCTGACTGGCTTATTTCACTTAGCATAATGCTCTCCAGTTCCATCCATGCTGTTGCAAAAGGCAAGAGTTCCTTTTTTTTTTTTTTTTTTACCGCAGCGTAGTATTCCATTGTGTATATGTACCACAGTTTTCTAATCCACTCATCTGCTGATGGGCACTTAGGCTGTTTCCAAATCTTAGCTATGGTGAATTGTGCTGCTATGAAGGCTTGTAAATTATTGACTATTGCTTTATAACTATTACAAAACGAACACATAGCATTTGTTTTCCATTAATCAATGTGTTGTAGAAATTAGGCTAATTTTTTTCTTTTCTTATTGATCTTTATTACAGGAAGAGTGACATTTAATAGGGCAGTAGCTTCAGAGACCCTGCAGCGAAGTCTTAAATCACAGAGGTAATTGTCTGGTATTCGCTGGCACCCTGCCCCAGGGGCAAAAGGACCCCCTCCCTCTCTTGGGCCGGTGAGAAGCTGACCTGTCCACACTGACGTCTGAAAACCACCCCACCCCGGTGGAAAATCCCTGCCGGACAAACGGCTCCCGGAAAATGGCCAAACCGCAGGACAGACCGCAGGTTTCACCTGACCCTGGAAAGCCCCGACTGCCACCAGTTTCGGCCAGCAACAATTGCCTCAGAAAAATATAAAACCTTGCCCCTGCCCAGGTTGGGCGCGGCTTCTCCTGCTCCCCTCTCTGAGCCGGTGAACCCGCCCGTGTGCTCCCAATAAAGCCTGTTTAATCTGGTCTCTGTTTGGACTCACGGTTTTTCCTTGCGGCGGCGTAAAACCTAAGAGTAATCACCAACAATTAGGATGTTGTTTCAATTGGTTAGTAGTAGGAAGTACTTGTAACTAGTTTAGAGGTTTCTTCCATAGGACTAACCATCTTAATGAAGTATTATACTGGGAATATAAATAGTTCATTTCCTTCCAACTGCATTTTTGGTGATGAAATCAATACTTTGAACTCTCCAAGATTCCCTTAAATTGTACAGAATAGAAGACACAAATAAGAAAATAATTATTTTTCATTAACTTAACTCTACAACTTAGCTATGTCTTGGCATTTGCTCAGCTTTCTAAGTGGAATTTAAACTTGTAAAATTTATGACATTAAATTGCATGTCATATTGCAATAGTAATCATTTTCTAGCTTATAAGTTTGTAATTTTAGGGTGAACTCTTAGAGTGACATATTAAGGGTGAGACTTGACCACTTAGGTAGCCACCTCCCTGTGTGTGTGACATAGATAAGACTTACCCTGCGTAATATTCCTGAGGATGGCGTGTGTAACTGATACCCACCTTGTACTTTGATTAACACCCATGCAGTGACACACATATAAAGTTTTCAGAAGAAAAAGGTAGTGAACAATTCAAACTGCTCTTTGGGAAAGCTTAATGAATGGCCTGTGGGTTGGGGGTTGATTTGGGGCAAGTCAGCTAAAATTCACTCCTCTATATAACCTGAAAATGGGGGAAATAATTCAGGCCTACTATTTTAAAAAGTGGTTTTAGGAGCAAATTTTTAAAAATACATACAAGTACTGAGAGATACCATGTTAAATAATGCAACAGAAAAACTTTCCGAAAGCCATTGGAAAGACAGATTTCAATCCTCTACCCTCAATAACCTCATCTCTAAAACAGGCTTCAGCTCTTCAGCCCATTAAGTAATTCAGCAAAAATTTGGAGAACACCTGTGTCTATCTGTGGTTGCCACAGTTGTCATTCTGCAAATCTGACCCACACCTCCAACAACTATCATGGTTCCTCTATCCCACCCCTAAGTTACCCAGTCCTACCCCAGCATAGGGCCCATATTTCTATCTTGGCTGATCAGTCGGTCCTCAAAACACATCTAAAATCTCAGATATAGCCCTGCCAGTGTGGCTCAGTGGTTGAGGTTCAACCTATGAACCAGGAGGTCATCATGGTTCGATTCCCCATTGGGTTTCGGGCTTGATCCCCAGTGGGGGGCATGCAGGAAGCAGCCAATGAATGATTCTCTCATCACTGATGTTTCTATCACTTCCTTTCCCTTCCTCTCTGAAATCAATAAAAATATGCCTAAAATATCAGATATATGTGACATAAATGGACACTTGAAACTGCAGCAGTGATCTTCAAACTGGGCTGCATGGAACCACAAGTGTTTCTTATAGAGGCAGGAATCATGGACATATTCAATTTGTATCCCCCTATCAGTCTACAGTTTTAAATTTTTAACGCTTTTGCAATAAAAAAAAATCAATGAAAGAATTTTATACACTTTAAGAGTCTAGAAATCCTTAAGGCAATATATTGTTCCCACAGTAATAGTCTAATACAAAAGTTTCGCCTAGACTAGGTAGCTCAGTGTGTCGTCCCGATACACCAAGGCTGCAGGTCTGGTGCCGTCAGGGCACATACAAGAATCAACCAATGAATGCATAAATAAGCGAAACAAAAACTCACTGTCGCTCTCTCTCTCTCTCACTCAAATCAATCTATAATTTTTTAAAATGTCCTATGGACTATAGAAATAAATGCAGGAGGCATCCTTTATGAATGAAGTGGGTTCATAAGACCTCATATGCAAGTAACTTCTCCTATAAAAACAAAAGATAAAACTATGCATCCTTGAATCAAATAGCCCCATTAAGCCGAAACCGGTTTGGCTCAGTGGATGGAGCGTTGGCCTGTGGACTGGAGGGTCCCGGGTTCAGTTCTGGTCAAGGGCGTGTGCCTGGGTTGCGGGCACAACCCCAGTGGGGGATGTGCAGGAGGCGGCTGATGTTTCTCTCTCATCGATGTTTCTGGCTCTCTATCTCTCTCCCTTCCTCTCTGTAAAAAATCAATAAAATATATATATATTTTTAAAAAATAGCCCCAGCCGAAACCGGTTTGGCTCAGTGGATAGAGCGTCGGCCTGCGGACTAAAGGGTCCCAGGTTCGATTCCGGTCAAGGGCATGTACCTGGGTTGCGGGCACATCTCCGGTAGGAGATGTGCGGGAGGCGGCTGGTCGATGTTTCTCTCTCATTGATGTTTCTAGCTCTCTATCTCTCTCCCTTCCTCTCTGTAAAAAATCAATAAAATATATTTTTAAAAAAATAGCCCCATTAAAAAAAACTTCTAACAAAAGGATTTCTTCCTTAAAATGAAAAAATCAAATCAACTCACATAAACAACAAGATATCGGTCATGTACTGCTTATGACAAACGTCCACATTATGGTCTAAACCAGCGGTTCTCAACCTGTGGGTCGCGACCCCTTTGAGGGTCGAACGACCCTTTCACAGGGGTCCCCTAAGGCCATCGGAAAACACATATATAATTACATATTGTTTTTGTGATTAATCACTATTCTTTAATTATGTTCAATTTGTAACAATGAAATTGGGGGGCCACCACAACATGAGGAACTGTATTAAAGGGTCACGGCATTAGGAAGGTTGAGAACCACTGGTCTAAACCATTAGGGAAACTACATTTGCTAACTTCCTTCCTCTGACTCGGTAACATTAATGTTAGAGAATAGGCAATGCCCTGGCTTTCGCTTCCAGGAAACACTGGAGTCAGGCTTGAACTCTGGCCCTGAGCAGCTGTGTGCTCCTTGGTCGGCTGCCCTACATTCTGAGCCAGTTTTCGTTGGCATCAAACAGGAGTATGATCACCAACCTCACTGACAAATAGTGAAGATGAAAAGAGGTCACGGCAATGTCTATCAGGGGCCTAAGGACAGGCCCTGCCGCGCGTTCAACACCGTGAAACCTCGGCCACAGGAACCGCTCCCGGCTGGGACTCGAGAGAGGAAACCCGAGTCTACAGACAGCGAGCACCTCACTTTGTTCCCTCCCCCAAACCGGCCTCCCTCCCGCAGAGGCAGAGCGGTACCTCCTCAGACGGAGCGGGAATCCTCGCTCAGGTGGCCGTCCTCAGACCTCCTGGGGAACTGCTCCAGATGTCCCCGGAGAGGGGGTAACTATGCATTCCACTCCTTCAGGCTCCTCAGCCTGGCTCCGGCCGGCCGCATTAGATACATTCCAGTATCTTTCTTCCAGAAAGAAAGGAAACTTCTTGGACTCCACCTCCAGGACAGTCCTATCTTTGGCCTCCCCTTCAAGGTCACTTCTTACTTAAAAGAGTAGTTTGCACTGGCTGCCTCCTGGGTCCTCACCTCCCACTCACTCTTTTTTTTTTTTTTACTTTAATTTGGCTTCCAAGTCCATCAAACCAAAGAGATGTTTGTCAGTAAGTCACCATTGATTTCCTTGTTGCTCCTTTCAATGGCCCTATCTTGGTCCTTGTCAAATCCGCAGCATTCACAGCTCCAGGGGCTGGACCACCGGCGATCACTGCCCTCAGAAAAACTGCTGGAGAGTCTGCCACCCTCCTCTCCTCGCCCACTTTTCCGGATCCTCTGGGAGTTCTCTTTCTCCAGCAATTCCCCAAACGTTGGTCTTTCTCAAGGCCCAGTGTTCGACTTCTTCCTTCTTTTCATCAGCATTCTTTCCCTCGGTAAATTCACCCACTTTCCTAGCACCCATCCATAAGGTGGCCACACGTCCCAGTTTGCGCCAAACGGTTCTGGTTTAGCCTAGGTTTCCCAGCATAATAGATACCGTCCCCCCACCCCTCCACCCCACATCCCAGTTTAGATGCAAACAAAATATGTGGTCCCCTTATCTATTACCATTCGTATGCAGATGGCTCCGACTGGAGGCCATAAAGCAGTGCGGCTGAGGGGGTGGGCCCTGCAGCCAGCCCCCGGGGTTTCTATCCGGCTCCAGTAGTCTCCAGCCTCTGAGCCCCTGGGCGGGTTAAGCACTTCAGATTCCTCCTCCACAAAATGGGAACTACCCTAGGGATTTCTCAAGAGGTGAGGGTTAAATGAACAGATCTAAAATCATCAGCATGAGGTCTGCCACGTTTTTAAGTGTTCAATAAATTTAGCTAGCCAGGACATGTCTCCTGAGTTCCAGACATACCCAGGTAAGTGCAATAAAGTTCCAAGGAGGTGGTGTGTGTGTGTGGGGGGGGGGGGGGGGGGGGGGGGCAGGAGAAGGCCAGTGTGTGTGGGCCTCTTATCACTTCTAAATTCTCTAGACGCCCATTTATCCTCCCAACAAACTGTGACTGAATTCCTAAGATATTTCTCTTGTGACCTTTGAATACTCTTCCTAAGGGTAAGTATCGGTCCTCTGTGGGAATGGCGGCAGCATTTTCTTGCTTGGCATTTTCAGAGAGCTGCTGTGTAATATATGCTTGAAACATTGGCTATAAGTTAGTGGAAATAAATTCTGCTTCTTGAACTGCTTAAATGGAGTCATTTTTATTTTTCACGACTGTGGCTGTTTCCACTATTCCGAAAACGTCAAAATGATATTGAATGATAGCCTGGATATAGAGCAGTGCAACCATTTCTTGACAATAAAAAATAAGACATAATTCTTGAAAATAAACTTGAGGAAGGAGGATGGTGTGATCTATTTGGGGGAAGCTGAGCACAGCGAACAATTTCACCTCTTAGATTTTATGATTAACTTTTTTACTTTCTGCAAGTTACTCTTAATCCTTAAGAAAGGGTCTTAGTTTGATTGAAATACTTTCTAAAATGGAATTTCTACTTTATATGTGTTTTCAAATTTCCTATCTGCACTTTCATTGACAGGCGAGCATAGCTTCAGTGGGTTGCATGTGTAAACTTTGTATTTTAACCTAAGCTATGATCCTTCTGCGCATCTTCCCAAAGCAGCGGTTC